CGATGTCGCGAACTGCGCGACAAGCTTCTTCGATGCGGAGGATCGATCTCCGAGGACGCCTTCGTGACAGTCATCATTGGTGGTCTCGGTCCCCAATGGCGCGCCACCAAAGCTATCCTCCGAGCCCACGGCAGAATTTCTGAAGCAGCACTCTGCGCCGAAATCCACGCCGAGCAGCAGGACATGGACCTGCAAGAAGAACGACACAGAAAGAAGACGACAACATCAGAGTTCGCGTTTCACACTCAACGACGTCACAACAACTACAACAATCGACAGCAACAACCGAAGCCAGTACCTCCTTTCTGCCACATCTGCAAGACTTCAGGGCACCCGCGCACACATTGCCCAAACCGTCAACAGTCAACAACTCCGCAGCGGCATCTACGGCCTTCAAGCAATCAAGTTGCGTCAACACAGGCGAACCCGACGACTCAAATTCAAGCTTCAACGACCTCAACGGGACAACCTGCACAAGAAACAAGAAATATCGTTAGCTGCATGGCAAGACTGAGTGACTCTTGCGTCACGGAATCACCACCATACTACTCACCAGAAGAACAGCTCGATGAAACGACACCTCGCCGCGAAGCACTTCAACCGAATCCAACCTACGCAGCCATCGCCCAAAACGAGCCATCCGGAAAGGACACGTGGTTCTTAGACAGTTGCTGCGGGCAACACATGTGTTCTTCAGGACGCTTCGTGCAGCGAGAGTACCAGCTTCAACGGGAAGTTGTCATCACCGTCGCCAACAATCAGAACCTGCGCACACGACGACAAGGAATTGTTCAACTTCAGTCACGAGAGACAAATGTTATTCTGCAGATGTCCAAGGTCCTAATCGCAGAGGGCTTGGGCTACAACTTACTGAGCGTCAGTCAGTTGATGGCGAAAGGCATTCATCTTGAAGCAGACAGCACAACTCAAGAGTTCAAGCTGTACCACGGAAGGGGAGGTCTCTACATCGGGAAGGCGGTCCTCAAGAACAACGTCTTCGTTCTCGACTTCGTTCCTGATCTTGGCACGGCCGACAGCGACGCCATCGTAAACTTCACCAACTGGACACATCCTCCAGATCTTGATCCAGACTTCAGTCCGAGCGGTTTCTGGTACTCGCACACCATTTCTGAAACAGAGAGAACAAGGGCGTTAGCGACAATTCAGCAGTCGGCAGCAGCAGAGACAACATCGGCAGCAGCAGAGACAACATCGGCAGCAGCACAGACAACATCAGGAGCAGGAGAAACAACATCGACAGCAGCACCGACAACAGCAGCAGCAGCAGAAACATTAACACCAGTCACCGGTCCCTCAACGGCACAGCCCTTCATCAACGAGACGCCGCCGACACCGGCGCAGCAGCTCAACCCGGCACCACGGGAAGTTCACAGAAGCGCGAACATCATCGCCGGCTTCTACTCCAACTCCGACATGTACCGACGCTCGCCAGGACACCGCGCCAACGAAGAAACCTGGCACGCAAGAATGGGACACCCAAGCAACACAGTATTAAACAACACGATAAGAGCTGGAGTACTTGACAAGGATTCACTCTTACTGACCGACGGCAGAGAACTTCAGCGAGCTCGAGGAACGTGCTTCACCTGCCCCGAAGCTGACTTACCGCATCAGCCCTTCGTTTCGCATCACAACCCAAGCGCACCTGCATATGCACCACTCGAAAAAGTGTACAGCGACATCTTGTACAACCGCGAACCCGGACAAAACGCGTATAACTACACCATCACCTTCATCGACGCCGCTACACGTTACGTCTGGCACCTAAACTTACCAAGTCGCGACATGGCTTTCGAGGCTTTCGTGGCATGGCTTCCAGCAGCAGAACGGGAATCGGGAGCTAAGCTCAAAAATTTCCAATCAGACGGAGGAGGAGAATACTCGTCACAGCGGTTCAAGCAGTATCTGGTGGAAAAAGGAATCAAGAGACTCATCTCCCTTCCCTACGCCCATCAACAGCAGGGTGTAGCAGAAAGGATGAACAGGACTTTGCAGAACACCATGCGCAAACTGTTACGTGGCATGCGGCTACCCAACCACCAGTGGCCCGAGGCAATGGACCACGCCGTGATGCTGCACAACTTGCTTTCTTCGTCGTCACTCCCGAACAACACATCACCGCATCTGCTGTGGACAGGGAAACTGGGCAGCACAAAAATGTTACGAGTCTTCGGCTGCATGGTACAGTACCGACCCCCATCTGCACGAGCCGGCCGATTCTCCCAACGGGCACAGTGGGGACTACACCTGGGCATCGAAAAACATTACAACGCGTGGAAAATCTTCGACATCCACACCAAGGAAACAGTAGCAGCACGTGATGTCATTTTCTACGAGCGGCTCACACTGCCAACATACCTTGCCAACCTGGACGAAAATCGAGACCCCACAGGTGGCTTCCGTGGCGATCGAGCCTTCGCTTCGGCAGGAGACGAAGCTGACTGGGACGAGCAGAACGTGGAAGGAGCCTCGGAAGAAGCCGGACCTCTCCCCTACTGCTCAGTGGACGTACCGATGGACGAAGATAACCCTCGCGAAAGCGTCAACGCCGAAACCTACTACCACTTCGCCGACAACGGTTACGTAACACCTGCTGAAGTCAACACCAACGAAGCAGAACGCATAGGGCCCAACTTCGCACCTGATCCAGAAGCTGGAGACGAGGCAGTCTATCCCGAGGACACCACACTCCCCCGCTACACACAGAGTGGACTCCAGATACTCGGGCTCGTCACCGCGGTCCACGGCGCCGCCATTCCTAAGGAGCCTGCAACGGTTCAGCAGGCTCTGGGGGGGGAACACAGGGAAAAATGGCGCGAAGCCATGGACAAGGAGCTGAAAGCGCTAGAAGAACGCAACACCTGGAAAATGGTTCCTATCGGTGTAGCACAAAACAAAACCATCCTCACCGGAAAATGGGTCTTCCGCGTGAAGACGAAAGCAGATGGCACCATCGACAAATTCAAGGCGCGCTGGGTCGTACGCGGCTTCGACCAAGAGCACGGACGCGACTTCACCGAAACCTTTGCTCCGGTCAGCCGACACACCTCACTACGCATTCTCCTCGCAATCGCCGCCATGAAGAAGAAAAAGCTACGACAAATCGACGTCGCAAACGCCTTTCTCTACGCACCTGTTGACGCAGAAATTTTTGTGGAGCTGCCGCACGGCTCCAACACAGATTCCACGCATGTCTGCCAGCTGCTCAAGTCGCTTTACGGAATCAAACAGGCCCCGCGACTATGGCAGCAATACCTGCACGCTCGTCTCATCCGCATCGGCTTCAAGCAACTCCCGCACGACCAAGGCATGTATCGACTCACTAAGAACAACGACTACGTCCTGTTAATCGTCTACGTGGACGATCTCCTCTACATCGGGTCAACCGACAGCATCGCAACCTGGTTCGAAGGGGAGCTGCAGAAAGACCTCACACTTACGGTCTCGTCTACCGTCACACAGTACCTCGGCCTCAACATCCGAGAAGAAGAAGATGCGATCTATCTCAGCGCCGAGAAATACGCCGACACTATCGCTAAACGCTTCGCTCTCACACCAGCCGCCATCTCCACGCCATACCGCTACACGACAGGAACCGAGAAGGGACGATCCACTCTACTCAAACCAGCCGGCATACGCGACTATCAGAGGAAGCTCGGATGCCTCCTCTTCGCAGCCGTCACATGCCGTCCCGACCTCTCATACTCCGCAAGTCAACTCGCCACCTACCTCAAGAAGCCTGAAACAGAACATCTGGCGGAACTTGACCGCGCTCTTCACTACTTCATCAGCACCGCGACGATCGGCCTAACCTACCACAAGAACGCAGCTACACCAACTAAGCTAATCGGCTATGTCGACGCCGATCACGCCGGCGACTCCGACAACAGGCGCTCACGTACCGGCTACGCCTACCGCCTCGAACCTATCGGACCTATTTCCTGGCAGTCGAGCAAGCAGGAGTTAATCGCGCTATCATCAGCTGAGGCAGAATATATCGCACTCTGCTCAGCCACCAAGGAAGGCCTTTATCTCCGCGAGCTGCTGGAAGAAGCAAAGTTAGCTGAGTTACCCAACTTCACCCTGTTCTGCGACAACCAGTCTGCAATTCGCATCGCCAACAAGAACGGCTTCGCGAACAGGACGAAACACATCGCCCTGCGCTACTTCTTCGTGAAGGACGAGATCGAGAAGGGGAGACTTCAGCTGTCATACTGTCCCACGTCCGAGATGGCAGCCGATTATTTGACCAAGAAACTCGGAAAGCAGAAATTCGAGTACTGCATGCTGCTGACTGGACAGAGCCACGTCATCAGCAACGACACTCCAGAAGCGAAGGGGAGTGTTGGAAATAGTGAATCTTAAGCGCTTCAGTCGTGTCGAAACATCGCACCAGAAGCGAAGCAAGCTGTATCGAAACAAACGCGAGTCAACCTTCGGAGGTTGAGAAGTTGCCGGAGGTTACGCGAAAGTCAAAGGTCAAGCGACCTTTGACCTGACAAATACAGCGCGACAGTTAAGGACACACAACTGACTCGTTACAGAGCAGTTGCCCGAGTCGTACTGTATCGAACCGCAACAGCAACAATAAAGTAGTTACAAACTGCATCCTTTCATATTCCTTGTATTATTATATAATCTTGTACTTCCTTGCTATAATCAATCTACTTTGCCCTCATATACCAGCGCAAGGTGGTTCACAAACTTTGTTAAACGCTTCCGCTATTACAACACTATCCCACCCAGAGTTCTCCCTTGAAAAGATCCTAAGGGGCTATCTCAGCCCAACAGACCCCATATACATGGGAGCGTGCAGGAGCCAATGGCATGCTCACTATTGCAATCTACCTCTTAGCAGCACCCACTGCTGGATGTGGGATTCTGCACACAAACATCCATTCCATACATCTCTGAAACAAATGGTAATCGATTTCAGAGAACTAGTGCCAATAATCAATTTACGTCGACAAATTAGCCGCTCAGGCGGTGACTGCTTCCGCTCGCTTGCTCGAGGAGTTGGGCTGTGCAGGCGATGAGAGCTCGTCCATCTTGGCCAGCATGTCCATCACTGCCTCCGCTGGCCAGAAGCCCTCCGCCTGGTGGGGTGGGGCGGGGTGTTGCATGGCATGACACGCAGGCAGAGAGGAGCACACATGGGGAGCAGTGATTAGCGCAATGGCAAGAGAAGCTTGTGGTTGAACGGACATATAGATGTACTGGTATGACATGTGGTCATCGGAGCAACAAGGTAGCTGGCATCAATTTCCGGAGCAGGAAAAGGGAAGAGATGAGTGGAGTGGCCAAGGTCATTACCTGGCGTTTGGAGTCGGTGCCTGAGAGAATGAAGCGGATGGCAAAGGCTGCTCCACTAGGCCTCCCTCCCATCTGCACGCGCAGCACACCCCCCAGCGTTTCATGAATTCACATACTGTACGCCACATGCGAAGGCGATCACATCAGGCAACCAGCTCTGTGAGATGATGGCAGCAACGGGGTTGACTGAAAGCTGCCTGTTTCAATGCTCCTCACAACGCTGATTCTGCGCTGCACACTGGTCTGTGGTGACTGAATGAGAGCAATGGAGCAGAGCTAGAAGCAGGACACAGGTCTCCTGATGTTGAAAAGCTGAGCTGCGGCGTACCTTGAGGAACCGCTGCAGTGTAGGCAATGTTTGGCGCGCCACCACACACTCCATCCATAGATTGCCACGCTCCACCTGATGCCACGCATCATGCCAAGTGCACCATGCAAAATACCCCATCCATCATGCACCACCGGTGACATGCCATATAGCACGCATGCATGCAAGCACCATGAAGAGATCATCACAACCATGCACCATGCGAAGCAACGCACATGAGGGGTCAGGCCAGGGAAAGCAGCATGCCAGAGAGAAACAAAAGGGAGAGGGTGAGAAAGAGCAATTGCTTGTTCAGTACATACTGGCCATCAATTTACCATGATTGGGCCATCTCACCATCAGCTCACGTACAATACCATGTCATCTCACCCACATGACCAAGTCACCTCACATTCATGCCCATGTATGCCATCTCACCTGCATCACGATGTCATCTCGGTTGAGCACTCCATCCTGGTCCATTGTAATCAGCCCCTTGCGCAGCATCTGCGCGCATGCACAGCACCGGACGGGCGCACATGAATCAGGGGGCACAAATTAGGGAATTGCCTCGTTAGGGTGATGAAAGCAGGTCGGACAACTCAACAGCAACACGCCCTAACGTGCTTGCGGGTTAGACGCTCTGATGTGGATAGTTGCGAAATCGCGGGTGGCTGTGTCTGGGAAAACAGCGCAAGGCACGGTTCGAGGCACTGCACCCACCTGCACGAGCTTGCAGAAGTCGTTGAACTCCGACGCCGTCAAGGCCACGCTCCACCCACCCGCTCCCACCTGCCGGCCAGCACGGGTAGGAACCGCGGGAGGGAGGAGGGGAGAGGGGGGAGGGGGAAAGGGGAGGAGGTTGATTTTGAGGAGGTGGGGGCAGCAAGCAAGGATGGTTGCTTAGGAGAGTGGGTCAGCACGCATATGACGAGACACGACGTTTTGCTAGGGAGGAGCGATAGACAGGACAGGATAGCAAGAGACAGGAAACTCCGGTACTCTGCACACAAGCCAGCAGCACGCCTGTGAGCCGTGAGCGCGCAGAAGCAATCCGGCGTGCCAAGACGGCCACCCAGCGCGCCAATTTATGCACCGCGCCAGGCGACCGAGCATGGCGCAAGTTACCAGCGCAGGCGATGAGTCCTCCCAGCAGCGCGCGCGATGAGCGGGCTCAACCCGGCACGCCAGCGAGCCAAACCATGCGCGCCAAGCCACCCAGCATGGCGCCATGCCAGCAGTGCGGGCGATCAGTAAGGCAGCGGCATGAAAGCATGAGCGATCAGTGCACTCACCATGGCGCAGAAGGCCTCCTCGCTGGCGGGCGCCGTCTCGTAGCCCAGGCGCCACCCCGCGCCCTCCAGCACGCGGAACTCCGCCACCGGCACCGCGCTGTCGTAGAAACACCCTGCCGTGGCGCGACCGGCGTCAACGCGTGATGCCATGCACGATATTGGTACGAATTTCCGTAAGGACGAGGTTGAGGACGAAGAGACAGGGCGAGAGAGAGGGGAGGAGAGGAGTCTGAGAAAGGGTGGATCGCGAGGAGAGCAGCGCGGGAGTCCCGAGAGCCCTCGAAAAGGGCAAGAATGCTACCCAGCGTTTTATGAGCACTTATGCGAGCGTATTAGCGAGATGTTGAAGCCTAGAAGCGGCATCAACGAAGCGCTAACTCGATGTGCGAGAAAACATTGTCAGCTCAATGGCAGTGACACTGAAGGATGGCAGTCTTGATCCATCGAAAATGGTTTGACACCCTGACAATTTGATGCAATTTCGCACCATTCCCTTCAGTGGTATGACATTAACGCTTTGCGCTGACGACGGGGTGTCGCGTTAGTCTGGACGCACCTGTGAGGTTACATTGCAGGTACCCCTGCGAGTCGTCATCCAGGTTCGGCACGTTACGACCGACGACGAGCACGCAGCCGCTCTCGTCGCACTCCAGCTTGATCGCCATCTCCTCGTCGCCCGCCTGCTCCTCCTCCCCCGCGTCGCCCACCATCACGCGCTCCCCAAACTCCCCTATCGGCCCTCGCGCCGCCTTATCCGCTTGCACGCGCACGGATCGATCTCGCCCGTTCACGTGGCACTTAAGAGCTGGCCATTGTTGTGCAGCAGAGACGCCAGCTGGCCTGGTCGCGGACCATGGCGAGGCGACGGCCGACGCCGCGTGTGGGAGAAGAAGGGACGGTGACGTGGCCGTCTGCATGGTAATGATCGCGCCAGGCAAATTCTCCTACGATAAAGCAGAGGGGCGATTTCCTGCTTCAGAAAACTGACAGCAACGCAGAGCGATCTAGCAGGAATAAAACCGTTTGTGAAAAGTGGTCAATTCAGTGGCAATAGACCTTGTCCTCAACTCTATCTTCTGGGGGAGGGAGCGGTGATAAGGATGAGCATGAATGGTTTGGAAGGAACTTTTTGGATCATGGGTTGGTGTTGGGGATCACGACTCATGCATGGGTTGAGAAGGTTTAAGATGGTTTGGAGAAGATTTCTTGGGTTTCTGGGATGGTTAGTCTAGAACTTTTGAAACTCCCAATGTGGGAGGTTGCGGAATGTGGATAAGGCGGATGGAGGCGTCCAGGTGGGTGGTTCAACTCAGCGCGCAAGGCTGACCAGCCGCAGGTGGAAACAGCCGTGGTGTCATGCCGAACCACTCACGAGGCTCGGGTGGCTGTGTATTTTTCAGTTGCGGACGAGACTTGGGTTCCACGAGCCAAGCTGACGGGGTCTATCTTGGGGATGACGAAGGGTCGCAGTGAATTGATCAGTCAGTTCAAGCTTGAGATTGCGTAGCCGTCCGTCGCACGTGGCGGGAAAGCGCTGACACGATTTTCAAAGAAGCCACTCTGGACCCGAAGAAGATGAACAAGAAGGGCATCGTAACACGTCATTCCGGCCACATGGGAGCCATAAGCATCCAAGCAAAAACTGGGTCGCTAACCTTCCCCAAAGGTCTCGAGAAAGGATGAGAGTAAGGCAATAATCTGTTGGAAATAGTGAATCTTAAGCGCTTCAGTCGTGTCGAAACATCGCACCAGAAGCGAAGCAAGCTGTATCGAAACAAACGCGAGTCAACCTTCGGAGGTTGAGAAGTTGCCGGAGGTTACGCGAAAGTCAAAGGTCAAGCGACCTTTGACCTGACAAATACAGCGCGACAGTTAAGGACACACAACTGACTCGTTACAGAGCAGTTGCCCGAGTCGTACTGTATCGAACCGCAACAGCAACAATAAAGTAGTTACAAACTGCATCCTTTCATATTCCTTGTATTATTATATAATCTTGTACTTCCTTGCTATAATCAATCTACTTTGCCCTCATATACCAGCGCAAGGTGGTTCACAAACTTTGTTAAACGCTTCCGCTATTACAACACTATCCCACCCAGAGTTCTCCCTTGAAAAGATCCTAAGGGGCTATCTCAGCCCAACATGGTATGAGAGCAAACAGGGGAAACTCTACTACCTTCAAATCATTACAAGACATGGCAACAAGCAAGGAAAGGAGCTCATCTAACGGCTCCCCAGGCACTACTCCTACTCCACCTCCTGCCTCTGGCCTGCAGACAGAGGAAGGCACGGCAACAAGACCAAGAATGACATCTACTGAGACTCCCGCAAATCACCCCGCGAACTTCGACCCGAGTATAATGGAGAAGTTCTTCTCCTTCATGTCCTTCTACGAGCAGCACCAGCAGTCGGGACCTGCACAATCACACAACAGCAACAACAACGGAGCGACACCCATGAGCCTCGACGGGTCGTCATATGCACGCGGAAACCAACAGCAGCAACCTACCTTCGCCCCGTACGAGCGCGGGTCGATCAGCTTCATGCCGCAATCTTCACCTGCACAAGACAAGCCACTGGACGCGTTACAAGTGCAATCACAGTTCGCGCACGTTCTAAAACTGCAGACATCAAGACCTTTCGACGGAAAGGACTTCTTCACTTGGTCATTCGAGTTTGAGTTAATGATGGAAGGCGCGCAGATACTCGGCTTCTTCGACGGGTCCCTGCAATATCCAGCAAACGGCACACAGTATGAGAAGCAGCAGTATACGTATCAATCGATGATGGCGTATACGATTCTGCTGAGGAACGTCACACCAACTCAGCAGCAGAACATACGCTCTTACCGGGGTTACGGCAACTCCGCTGAGCTCGCGTACAGCCACCTGAAGAGCCTGTATCAAGCAACAGACAGCGTAAACCAAAGCAAGTTAATGGCGCAGTTAACAACAGTTGAAATGAAACCGGGAGAAAAGGGGATGACGTATATCAGCCGATGTCGCGAACTGCGCGACAAGCTTCTTCGATGCGGAGGATCGATCTCCGAGGACGCCTTCGTGACAGTCATCATTGGTGGTCTCGGTCCCCAATGGCGCGCCACCAAAGCTATCCTCCGAGCCCACGGCAGAATTTCTGAAGCAGCACTCTGCGCCGAAATCCACGCCGAGCAGCAGGACATGGACCTGCAAGAAGAACGACACAGAAAGAAGACGACAACATCAGAGTTCGCGTTTCACACTCAACGACGTCACAACAACTACAACAATCGACAGCAACAACCGAAGCCAGTACCTCCTTTCTGCCACATCTGCAAGACTTCAGGGCACCCGCGCACACATTGCCCAAACCGTCAACAGTCAACAACTCCGCAGCGGCATCTACGGCCTTCAAGCAATCAAGTTGCGTCAACACAGGCGAACCCGACGACTCAAATTCAAGCTTCAACGACCTCAACGGGACAACCTGCACAAGAAACAAGAAATATCGTTAGCTGCATGGCAAGACTGAGTGACTCTTGCGTCACGGAATCACCACCATACTACTCACCAGAAGAACAGCTCGATGAAACGACACCTCGCCGCGAAGCACTTCAACCGAATCCAACCTACGCAGCCATCGCCCAAAACGAGCCATCCGGAAAGGACACGTGGTTCTTAGACAGTTGCTGCGGGCAACACATGTGTTCTTCAGGACGCTTCGTGCAGCGAGAGTACCAGCTTCAACGGGAAGTTGTCATCACCGTCGCCAACAATCAGAACCTGCGCACACGACGACAAGGAATTGTTCAACTTCAGTCACGAGAGACAAATGTTATTCTGCAGATGTCCAAGGTCCTAATCGCAGAGGGCTTGGGCTACAACTTACTGAGCGTCAGTCAGTTGATGGCGAAAGGCATTCATCTTGAAGCAGACAGCACAACTCAAGAGTTCAAGCTGTACCACGGAAGGGGAGGTCTCTACATCGGGAAGGCGGTCCTCAAGAACAACGTCTTCGTTCTCGACTTCGTTCCTGATCTTGGCACGGCCGACAGCGACGCCATCGTAAACTTCACCAACTGGACACATCCTCCAGATCTTGATCCAGACTTCAGTCCGAGCGGTTTCTGGTACTCGCACACCATTTCTGAAACAGAGAGAACAAGGGCGTTAGCTGTCAAACATTGCATGTTTATATTATGTAGGCTGTAGTGGGTTACACCTTAGGGGGTACTCAAAGTTAGGGTTTCCTACTTGTACCAAACTCTGTGCTAGTTCATTTCATTCCTGCTCAGTTATTTCTGACATGGTTTCAGAGCAGGTCCTTCGCTAGGACTGTTCTTAGGGCCCACCGACTTACCTACCTGCTTACCTTCGCTTGTTTCCGGCCCCGCTGGCCCCGTCGATCTAGCACGATCTAGCGGCCCTGCGGCCCCTTCGATTTTTTTTTTTTTTTTTTTCCTAGCGGCCTCTCACGGCCCCCGTCGCGTCGCCCCTTAGCGCCCCGATCGGCCCCGTCACGCCGCCCGCGAACCGCACAGCGCGCCGCGCTCACAGCCCGCGAACCGCCCACGCACAGCCCGCGAACCGCCTGCGCAGCCCGCGACCAGCCCGCGCAGCCCGCGCACAGCCCGCGAACTGCCCGCGAGCAGCCCGCGACCTGCCCGCGAACCCCCGCGAGCCGCCCGCGACCCGCTTACGCAGCCCGCGAGCAGCCCGCGCAGCCCGCGCTGAGCCTGCGCGGCTCTTGCGCTGACCGCCGCCGGCCCGCACGCTGCCCGCGCAGCTCACATACGGCCCGCACGGCCCGCGCGCTGCCTGCTCCCGGCCCGCCGCTACTAAGCCCGCAGCCGCCCGCGCACCGCTGCTGCTGAGCCCGCCGCCGCCCGCGCACCGCCGCTGCTGCGCCCGCCGCCGCCCGCGCACCGCCGCTGCTGCGCCCGCCGCCGCCCGCGTATCACCGCTGCTGAGCCCGCCCCTGCTGCGCCGGCTCTCGCTGCCGCCTGCTGCGCCTGTGCACCACTGCAGATCCTACTACTACACTTCCTGCTACTGCTGCTTGTGCGCCACTACAGTCCGTAGGCCCCACCGGCCCCGCTGACCCTGCGCACGCCTTTTCAGTGACTTTACTGCTTCTACTACTGCCGCTGTCGCTATGGCTAGTCCTCCTGTTCTAGCTTTCGATGCCGAGGGCCGTCCGGTCAAATTCGAAACCTGGCTAGATGACCTGCACCTTTTCCTACAGCTCACTGCCAAGGAAGATATTACACTGTACGACCACGCTCTCGGCCATGCGACCGCCCCACTCGCTACTGCCCCCCCAGCTGAGCGCTCACAGTGGCAGACCCGTGACGCGCACGCTCGCTTTGCTATTCGCAACTCCCTGCCGCTAGATGAGCGCGAGCACTTCGGCCAGTGCAAGACTGCTAAGGACCTCTACACGGCTGTAGTGGCCCGCTACTCCTCACCCGCTTCTGCCACGCTAGGCCGCCTCACTCTCCCCTACCTGTTCCCCGACCTAGCCTCCTTTCACACTGTCGCAGACCTCATCACCCACCTTAAGACTAGTGAGGCTCGCTTTCGCGCTGCCATGCCTGACGAGTTCCTCGCTAGCAACCCCCCCCCGCTCTGGATCACTCTCTACCACGTTGTCACCCGCCTCCCTGACTCTCTGCGCCCTGTCAGGGACCAGTTCCTCTCTCGCTCCCCCACTGAGCTCACCGTAGACC